TTGAAAAGTTGAAAAAATGGCGAAATTCTCGCCCAAGCGAGCCATTCTCGCCCGGGCGAGGCTACGCAGATATAAAAGTGAAAAGGGGGATCTAAAAACCCTAATCTTCATTTTCTCTCTTCCCCTTTCTCTCCCAACAGCTGCTCTACCCAAATGGACAATTCTCCCCTCCACTAAACCTCAAAACTCATCAAAACCTCTTCCTCTTGCTCCTTAGTGGCACAATTGAGGCCTTTGGCGGTGAAAATGGAGCATTGGAGATTTGAGGAGATGAAGGGAGATTTGGCTCTTTTGCAGATCAACGGAGCTTACGCAACCTAAGGTGAGGAAGAAGACCATTGTGGTCATAGAGTATTTCATTAGAGTCATCTTCTCCGATTTCCCTCAAGAATCGGAGAATATTAACGGATAGAAACTCTATTGGAAATTTGTGGTCCTTGTTAGAGTCTTTATTTTCCATGAAGAGGTATTAGCCATAAATGTAGAGATATATGAGTGGTAAAAACCGTTTTATCAGATAAAATGCAATATGCTCATTTATAGTAATACGTCATCATGAGAAATGGTTCTATCGTTAATATGTTGTATGATGATAAATATGCTATGAGTTGTTTATTGCGATAAAAGGATATGAGTGTATTTATGATAATGACTAAGTTGTGAATCGTTTATTTGTTATAAACATATATGGGTATGTTTGCAATAATGATTGTGTGATGAGTTGTTTATTTGCGATAAATGGACATGATTATGTTGTATGATACTGATTGTGTTGTGAGCTATTTATATATATAGTAAAGAATGGGATGAGTATGGTTATTTTGACACGGTTGTAGTTGTGGGTATTATGGTGAAATTTGATGTAAGGGAAGTATTTAAATTATATATGATTTTATAAAATGCGTGGATTTTCTGGTTGTATATGATTGTGAAACAATGGGAAGAAAATCTATTTTCAGGTCCCTTAAGAGGTTGAGCAATGTATGACTTGCCCTCATGGTATTGGCTATTCGTAGCAATGTATGACTTGCCCTCGTGGTATTGGCTATTCGTAGCAATGTATGACTTGCCCTCGTGGTATTGGCTATTCGTTGCAATGTATGAGTTGCCATCGTGGTAATGGCTATTCGTAGCAACGTATGATTAACCCTATGTGGTATAGTATTGATTTGAAAGTGGTTTTACTTTGGAAAGTATTGTAATGTTGTGTAAGTATGTTAATGTCTTGAGTATAATGTTGTTGTGGTTATTGGAAGAGATTATTGTGTGGTAATTTATGATGAAGATTGAATGGGATAAAGCTTGTAAGTATGTGTAATAGATGCGATTTGAAAAGTGGATAGCTTATGGTATGTTGTATTGATGGATTGAATTGTCTAAGTGAGATATGAGGATTATGCTAATTCAATATATGAACATTATGTGGTATAATGTATTGATTGGTATATGTTTAATACGATTGATGTTAGACGTTGTATAGGTTGTAATACTTTAATGTTATTACTCCATGTAATTCCACACTACGGTTACCGTTGTTGGTTCTTACTCCCTTTTGTCTCTGCTTGTATGTGTTATGTATTGGAATTCAGGTGGCGACTATAGTGCATCGGATGCTCACAGAGAAAGTATAGATTAGTGTATTTACTTTATGTACACGACATTGTAATTTGTAAGGGCCCGATTTTCGTAATCCAAAAAATCATTTTTAGAACTTTGTTCATGAAAGTGAAGTGATTACTTTTGGAAGACATTACTTGAACGGTTTGGAAACTTGAGTGAATACAAATATTAATTCCATTTATAAATCACAAGGCAGAAATATTCCAAATACATGCCATTTCAAAAGGATGTAATTACACTTCCTTTCAAATACATAATCTCAACAATTATCCTTTCTCAAGGAACACTTTTAATACAAACATTAAATCAACTTCATTATACACTTAGGAGGAGTCCCATTTTACAAAATAGATAATCCAACATAGTTATCATATTATAAACATTTATCATATAACATATCAATTACATAAAATCCTACTCTACCATATACTCACTTCCACAAGTGTCCAACGCGCTACCGCCACAACCTGAACTCAAATACACAACACATACACGAAGAGACAGAGGGAGTAAGAACCAACTACGGTGACCGTAGCGTGGATTTACATGGAGTAATAACATTAAAGTATTACAACCTATAGAACCTCTAACATCAATCATGTTAAACATATACCAATCAATACCTTATGCCACATAATATTCGTATATAAAATTATATGACAATCCACATTCAAAATAATATTAAGCATTCGTATCTTCTTTCTTCTATTTCCATATTATCCATATTCACCCTATAGTATATATATCCCATAATGTATATTCTATAGCATGCATATTCATTTCATTTCAAAAGTATAGGTCCACATTCCAAAGATGATCCACAACCACACCGGGCAGGTCTACATTTCAAAGATGATCCACTACCACATCGGGTAGGACTACATTTCAAAGATGATCCACTACCACACCGGGAAGGACTACATTTCAAAGATGATCCACTACCACATCGGGTAGGAATACACTTCAAAGATGATCCACTACCACACCGAGCAGTACTACATTTCAAAGATGATCCACTACCACACCGGGCATGACTATATTTCAAAGATGATCCACTACCACACCGGGCATGACTATATTTCAAAGATGGTCCACTACCACACTGGGGCAGGACTATATTAACGTTATTCTCACATCACATGTTCGTTATAACACAAAATATCACGTCAATGTCATAAACACAATAAACACAAGGTATCTCATTGTTCCATCACCATAAAATAACACACAACATATTCCTTTTCACAATCATACCCATATATGTTCATAACAATAAAGCGACTCACAATTCAGTCATTTTCATAAACATACTCTTAACCTTTTATCACACTAACAAATCACAACATATTTATCATCATACGACATAATTATGTCCATTTGTTGTCATTAAACACTTTATCACACAATCATTGTTACAAACATGCCCATATATGTTTATAACAATTAAACACTCACCACTTATAACTCATCAACAACTCATAATACACCATTATCTTAAACAAACCACACACAACATATTCTTCATCATATAACACATTAATATTAGCATCATCTTTCATGACGGTGTATTAACATAAGTGAGCATATTGCGTTTTATCTAAATAAACGGTTTTCCTACACATATATCTCCACTTTTTTGGCTAATACATCCTCATGTAAAATAAAGACTCTCACATGGACCGCAAACATCCAAGATAGTTTCTATCCGTTAATATGCTCCGATTCTTGAGGGAAATCGGAGAAGATGACTCTAATGAAATACTCTAAGACCACAATGGTCTTCTCCCTCACCTTAGGTTGCGTAATCTCCATGGATCCGCAAAGAGTTCCATCTACCTCCATCTCCTTCAACCTCCATTGCTCCTTTTCCAACTCCAAAGTTCACCAATGTGTCACTAAGAGGTAAGAGGAAGGGGTTTTGATGAGTCTTTGAGGTTTAGAAGAGGAAAGAGTCGAAATCTATGGGTAGCCGCCGTTGGGAGTGAAATGGGAGAAAAGAAAATGAAGATTAGGGTTTGTAAAACCCTTTCTTTACTTTTATAGCTAGGTACTCTCGCCCGGGCGAGAATGGTTCGCTTGGGCGAGAAGCCCACAATATTTTAAGTTTCAAAATCCTGACTCTCTCGCCTGGGCAGGCTTCTCTCGCTCAAGCGACCACTTTCTCGCTTGGGCGAGATTCCTAGAATTCCAAAAATTAAAACATTGGGTCTCTCGCTTGGGCGAGACCTTCTCGCTCAAGCGAGAATAGTGCAGTATGCCCCATTCTTCAGGACTTTTACCCCATTTGGGTATTACATAATTGAATAAAGCATGTATTATGAAGAACATGTTAAAGTGAATTTATGTTAAAGTGATGAGGTTAAATGGAAGTATTATTTGAGAAAGGATAATTGTATATAGTATATATGATAAAAGAAGTGTAATGGTATGTCTTTAATGAATGGATACGTTTGATTATTTCTGCATTTGAATCATGAACATAAGTGATATTTGTATGCTCACAGGTTTTCCAAATCGTTTAAGTAATATATTTCAAAAGTAATCCTTGACTTCATGAATAAAGTTTTAAAGAAATTTTTGGGTTACAAAATCGGGTCCTTACATCTATAAAACGAATCACACTTTTACCACTAAACTATACCCGCTACAATGCAATTATTGCATATAAATGCACCTTTTGTCGAACAAGGGAATCAATCATAATGAAGAACTAGGCTCACAAGCGTAATTAATTAAAAATAAAATAAAATAATTAGTAATACAAATTAATTAAGAATGTTGATATGTTTTGTAAGGGGCCTCCAAATGAAATTAAGAAAAGAGAGCTAATTTCATTAATTAGTTTTTGTAGAAGCTGAAGATGTTTTGTTTTACAGATACATCTACATCTCGACAAAACTACTTAATTCATAACAAAAAATGGATTGTGTAAGAATCCATAGTTTCTTTGTTTAGAAAATTTACTAGGAAAACGAAGGAGTAATAAAAAAAATGACATTTTGATCTTAGGAATCTAAAGTCTTTTTTTATTTATGTTTGATTTTGTTTAAATAACAAGTATTTTTTTTCCAGATGCAATACATTCAACTAAATCTTTCTTTTCAAAGATTCATGGTAACAAAAAGAGCCCAACTAAGTATTAGCATGGTCAGGCTCTAGTTGTATAAAGAGAAACTTAAAAAATAGAATAAAATATATTATTATATTCATTTATATTTTTTATTTATATTTGTTTTTCCATTCTTTATTATATAATAAATAATGAATAAACAAATATAAATAAAAAAGAGATAAAAGATATAAAGAGTTCTTCAAAAAATACCAACCTTTTATTTTTTTATGCAATGTAACAGAAACTTCGTAATTCTTGTTTTTAGTTGGGGAGAGATGGCTGATTGGACTAAAGTGGCGGATTGCTAATCCGTTTTATGAATTTTTGTACAAAGGGTTCCAATCCCTCTCTTTTCGCGTTACTAACCATAATGTTTCAAATATCGATGAACGAGAATAAATAAAATAGGAGGAAACATATTTCAATATAGGAATTGGTATCTGTAACACCCTAAATTTTAAGTCTTTAAAATTATAGTATCAGTCCTGGGATCCTCGCTTGAGCGAGAGATTTTCGCCTAGGCGAGAAAGGCTCACCTGAGAGGGTGAAATCCTGGGCTGTACTAGAGGATTCTCGCCTGGGCGAGAAATGGCATTTTGGGACTGTTGAGACTGTGAAATTCTCGCTTGAGCGAGCTGATCAAATCTGAGTTTTTAAAAAGGGGCGGGATTTCTCGCTTGAGCGAGAATGAGCTCGATTAAGCGAGAACCCGACGAGTTGCATTGAATGAGATACCCCCAAACACATTTTAAGGTTAAGAAAAGAAGAGAGGTGAGAGAAGAGAGCTTTTCCAAGGGCAAGAAGCTTTGATACTCATCCAAGAGCTTGAGATGAGGTAAAACTCTTGATTCTAACTCTCTTCTTCTATTTGGAACTCTTTTTGGGTATATTGGATCTCTTCTAAAAAATGAGAGAAACCATGGAAACTCACCCTTGTGAGTTATGGTTCATTTTATGTTATTTTATCTTGTAAACTCTTGGTATAGAGTTAGTATTTCAAGAAAGGAGGGGAGTTGTGGGTTGAGTCATGAAAACCCCAAAACCCTATAGAGAAAATGTGGTTAAAATGGAAAATGGGTAAGATGCTAGAGGTAGAAGATGAGTTTACTTTCTAATATTAAAAATATGATGAATATCTTGTATGGTTAAATAATGCAATATAAGTTGTTTATATGATATTTGGAATAAATGACTAACATTGTGTTATATGGTGGGATGAGGAAAGATCCTAAAGTTGGAGGCGGTGTCGGTGGAACTTGAGGAGTTGCTAAGAACCCAAACCCAACACTCACCGAGGTAAGGATAAGTCTTTAACTTATGCACTATGATAGAAAATGTGTGGATTTTCTGAAGTGGATAATGAAATGTATCGTAAATCACTTAGTTGTTATTAGTATATATGGGTATGTTTGTAACAACACGGAGTGGATTTACCGTTTATGTGTTGGTGCAGTGCCAATGGAAATAATAATCGGAATAATGCAATGTATCGTAAATCACTTAGTTGTTATAAACATATTTGGGTATGTTTGTAACAACACGGAGTGGATTTACCGTTTATGTATTGGTGGAGTGCCAATGGAAATAAAACTCGGAGAAATGAAATGAATCGTAAATCACTTTGTAGTTATAAGCATACATGGATATGTTTGTAATGATGTCGGGTGCATTTACTGTTTTTGTATTGGTGGAGTGCCAATGGAAATAAAACTCGGAAAATGTATTGGTGGAGTGCCAATGGAAATAAAACTCGTTTTTAGCCGACCATGATGGGTTAGCGACTTTGGCTCAAGTAATGTAGCAAACTTTGGCTCAAGTAATGTAGCAAACTTTGGCTCAAGTAATGTAGCAAGCTTTGGCTCAAGCAATGTAGCAAACTTTGGCTCAAGTTATGTAGCATGGTTTTCAAAAGTATGAATGATGAAAATGGTTTTAAGTATATTTGATTTTAAACCGTTTATTTAATCTTATTAAATGTGGATTAACTTACATTGATGTTTATTGAGTTAACGACTTACTCCTTTGTGTTTCTTTGGTGAATTTTTAATGTTAATCCCATTGCAGGTAGGTGGAAGGAGTATGGGTATTTTTGATTAGGAGCTTAGAGACGTTTATTTTGAAGTCTCTTAACCATTCTTTTGTAACCTCATTGGTTGTACGTGAACTAACTATTTGTAACTATGAACATGATTGTTGTACATGACATTAATCATGGAAACTAGTAACTCGGGATATATGTAACTATGGGTGTTTTGGAAACCCATAGCTGATTCTATGCGGTAGTTACTAAGTTGTATTAATACGAATTATGTTTTTCTGTCATCTGATTGGGAATGTCACTTTTGGTTTATAGATTGGGTGTAATGAAGGAAGTGAGACCTTTTAAATAAGTTCACTCTATCGGTAAATATAATTTATAGTTAAATGCATGAAATTGAATTAAAATAAGGAAAAATTTTCAAGGGTAGAATTTGGGTCCTTACAGTATCGAATCCATCAACAATTCAAGCATATGGCGAAATTGGTAGACGCTACGGACTTAATTGGATTGAGCCTTGGTATGGAAACTTACCAAGTGATAACTTTCAAATTCAGAGAAAGCCTGGAATCGACAATGGGCAATCCTAAGCCAAATCCCATTTTTTCACAAAGACAAAGAAAAGTTCTTAAAGCGGAAATGAAAAGGATAGGCGCATAGACTCAATGGAAGCTGTTCTAACAAACGGAGTTGACGCCACTTACATTCGTGTTGGGTTAGGAAAGGAAAACGTTCATCGAAATTTTGTAAAGGATCAAGAATAAACATATATACGTATATTTATTGAAATATTATTTCAGTTGATTAATAAAGACTGAAAATCCCTATTTATTGAAGGAGTAATTGAATATTGATTGATCAAATCATTCTTTCCATGACAATCAGATAGATCTTTTTAAGAGTTGATTACTCAGACGAGAATAATGATAGAGTCCCATTCTACATGTCAATACCAATGAGCAAGAAAGCCTCATATTAATGATTAACAATACATAATTATTAGTACTACTGGAAAAAAAATTAAAATTAAAAATACAAAAGTATTTTTATTTACATGACATAGATTCATTGACATATATTCACGTAATCTCTTAAAATGGAGATGTTGCGCTAAGAATGGTCGGGATAGCTTAGTAGGTAGATCAGAGGACTAAAAGTCCTCGTGTCACCAATACAAAACTGGTTCCTCGCACATGATTAATTTGTTAGTGGTTTAACCATTATACATATTAATCCATCTAGATGTAAAGAAGATCTGTATGTTCTATGTTCGAGGTCTATTCTATGTATATTCAAATGTGTATATAAAGTGTGTAAAAAATGAATTATTCGAGTTAGGATCCTCATATTGATGTTGATGTACACGTTACATAGTTCATGATGCAAAATATTTTGAGGTCAAAATATTGGCATAGCTCATCTCAAATAAGTGAAGTATGGTTCAATTATTCTGTTTGATTTGACGTCAATTACTATGTCTGATCTATAATACAATTTACGGATATTTAAGGAATATTGGGGATTGTAGAAATGCGGATTTGTTTTTTATCTTTTTCATTTAGTGAGAATCTTGTATTTCATAAAAATTGGGGGCGATATAATCTTTACGCAAAGGCCATCCTATCCAACTTTCGGGCATTAAAATACGTTTCAGACGCGGATGATTATAATAAGAGATTCCCAACATATCATAAGATTCTCTTTCTTGAAAATCCGCACTTTTCCAAACCCAGAAAATAGAAGGAATTACTGGATTTTTCCTTGGTACAAATACTTTTATGCATATCTCTTCTGGTTGATCTATACCACACTCTATTCTCGTAAGATGATACACACTAGCTAACAGTCCTCCCGGTGCTACATCATAAGCACATTGGGAACGTAGATAATTGTAACCATATACATATAAAATAACAGCAATGGAATGCCAATCCTCGGACTTTATTTGTAAAGTCTCTATTCCTTGGTAATCGAAACCCAAAGATCTATGAATTAGTCCATGTTTGACTAGCCAAGCCGACAAACGACCCTGCATTTTTTTCTCCTGTATTTTTTTATTTGTATAAGTAGTTTATCTTAAAGTGATATCTTTTAATTTATTATTGTATTTTGGTCGTTGAAAAAAAATCCTTTATCATAATTTTCGGTATGAGTATTGTGTCCAACATGAAATTTGTGGTTGGTAGTAAAACACATATTATTATTCTCTCGTTGATGTAACGACCCGATTTTCTACCCTTGAATTTTTTTTATTCATTTTAATCATTTTGCATGTATTTTCCTACACTTACTATCATACTTTCAAATTCCATAATCACCTACACTTGATTTGACAGAAAAACATAATTCATATTCGTAATGTCTCACGGATAATGAGACCTCATAAGTATAGTTCTCCGAAATAACCATACACCCAGTTACAAATATCCAACTAATGGTTAGCCATGATTACAAACATTTAAATCCACAAGTAATCATTTAGAATACGAAACATAAATAGTGAATCCAACGTCTAAAGCTCCTAAAGCTCCCGACCTAGCATACTGCATTCATCTATTTACCTGCAATGGGATTATCAATGACAAAAGTACAAAACACACAAAGGATTAAGTCGTTAATTCAATAAACGTCATTATAAGATAATCCACATTAGAAAAAGGGTTAGTAAACCATTTCCGAAATTCATTTTGTCTTGCTGCATTACTTGAGCCAAAGTCACTACACCCCTCAGGGTTAGCTAAAAGCAGATTCTCATCCTTTTTACCAATAAAACATGCCTCATAAACTCGGGCCAAAGTGTTGCTACATAAACTCGAGCCAAAGTCACTACACCCCTTAGGGTTAGCTAAAAACAAATTCTCATCTCTTTTATAAAGAAAACATGCCGCGTAAACTCGGGCCGAAGTGTTGCTACATAAACTCGAGCCGAAGTCGCTACACCCCTTAAGGTTAGCTAAAAACAAATTCTCGTCTCTTTTATAAAGAAAACATGCCGCGTAAACTCGGGCCGAAGTGTTGCTACATAAACTCGAGCCGAAGTCGCTACACCCCTTAGGGTTAGCTGAAAACAAATTCTCATCTCTTTTATAAAGAAAACATGCCGCGTAAACTCGGGCCGAAGTATTGCTACATAAACTCGAGCCGAAGTGTTGCCTCATAAACTCGGGCCGAAGTGTTGCCTCATAAACTCGGGCCGAAGTGTTGCCTCATAAACTCGGGCCGAAGTGTTGCCTCATAAACTCGGGCCGAATGTTGCCTCATAAACTCGGGCCGAAGTGTTGCCTCATAAACTCGGGCCGAAGTGTTGCCTCATAAACTCGGGCCGAAGTCGCTAACCATTTCTGGTCGGCTAAAAATATAATTTTCCTTCCATCGATTTGCCATCAATCATTTCCCGTAAATCCACGTCATCTTTAGTATAAACACTCCATATCTGTTTATACTAATACGTGATTTACAATATAATTATTGCATGGTCAGGAAACACACACATTTTCCATCTTCCGTAAATCTACGCCTACTTTAGTATAAACACATCCATATATGTTCATACTAAATGCGTAATTCACAACTCGATCATTTCATAACCAGAAAATACCCACATTTTCCTTTTCCGTAAATCTACGCCTACTTTAGTATAAACACACCCATATATGTTCATACTAAATGCGTAATTTACAACTTAGTCTTTGCATAACCAGAAAATACACATTTTCTATTTCAAATGCAACATTAAAGACTTATCCTTACCTCGATGAGTGTTGGGTTTGGTTCTTGGCAACTTCTCGAGTTCCACCGACACCGCCTCCAACCTTAGGATCTCTCTTCATCCCACCACATCACACAATGTTAGTCATTTATTCCAAATATCACATAAACAACTTATATTGCATCATTTAATCATACAAAATATTCATCATCAATATTCAACCATCTAAAACATGCATAATCTCATATTTCAATATTTGGGGGTAAACTCATCTTCTACCTCTAACATTTTACTCATTCTCTCCTTTTACCACATTTTCACTTTTGGGGTTTTTGGGGTTTTCATGAATCAACCCACAACCCTTTCCATTCTTGAGATACTATCTCTAAACCAAGAGTTTACAAGATAAAAACAACATAAAACAAACCATAACTCTAAAGGATGAGTTTCCATGGTTTCTCATGTTTTGAAAATAAATCCAACATACCCAAAACAAGTTAGAGAGGAAGAAGAAGAGCTAGGAATAAGAGGTTTACCTCTTCTCAAGCTCTAAGATGAGTCCTAAGGCTCCTTGCTCTTGAAAAGCTCTCCTCTCTCTCTTCTCTTCGAAGTTCTCACCCTAAAATGTGTTTGGGTTTCTGTTTTAAAGAGGTGTCGTCGGGTTGTAATCGATTACCAACATGGTGTAATCGATTACAACGTGAAAAATACGCATATCTGATGCTTTTAATACGATGTAATCGATTACCAGGAGTGTGTAATCGATTACCAGGAGTGTGTAATCGATTACACTGTGTCAGATGCACATATCTGATGCTTTTAATACGATGTAATCGATTACCAGCAATGTGTAATCGATTACCAGCAATGTGTAATCGATTACCAGAAATGTGTAATCGATTACCAGCAATGTGTAATCGATTACCAGAAATGTGTAATCGATTACACTGTGTCAGATGCACATATCTGATGCTTTTAATACGATGTAATCGATTACCAGAAGAGTGTAATCGATTACCAGCAGAGTGTAATCGATTACACTGTGTCAACAGCCCAAAATTGCCATTTCTCGCCCACGCGAGAATCCTCGTCCAGGATTTCACCCTCCCAGCTGATCCTTTTTCACTCAGGCGAGAATCTCTCGATCAAGCGAGGCTTCCAGGACTGATACTATATTTTTAAAGATTAAAATTTGGGGTGTTACAATCCTCCCCCTCTTATAAGAATTTTCGTCCCCGAAAATTAAACATACCTCGGAAAATAAAATCATCACCTAGACCTTAGGCACAAGAATATTCAATCAAAATCACAATTCGATTCTCTAATCCATTAAGATTACTTAATCAGTCACTAAGGGCATACACCACTAAATCATGATATCACCAAACCAATTCATGAACTAACTCTCAATGTTCAAATGTTAAGATCTCAGCCTTTAATAACTCGAGTGCCATGGGAACTAATCCATAATTCAGACTAAAGATTTTTTTCTTATATCCATCAAGAACCATAGATCTCTAACACCTATCCATCTATCAATCCTAACATACGTTAAGAATCCCGATAACACTCTCGAACTTCAGCGAATGGGGAACTCCTGATCCCATATCTATCTAAATGCATCTTTTAACATCCATCATACACTAGCTAGTCTCATCTCCACTCGAGACTCTAGCACAATTTCATTTTACTAGATCCACAAAATACTTACACAATAGAATTATTAGTGTCTCATCCATTGTACACAATCAAACTATTCAGTAATTGTCTAATTACATAAAATATTTCTACCATCAAATCTTATCGTCTAAAGAAATTACTGATTTCTAGCCTCCACTGAAACCATAAAACCATTGATTCACACCAAAACTAGGTATTCTGTTACCAATCGGCAAGCACAAGTCGACCAACACTCAAACCTACAACTTGCGTTTGGTTTGGTCACCCCAATTCCGTTAGTAAATATAAACTTATTAACCCACTCGCATTATGTCCAGAAATACATAGGCGTCTCATATCACTAAACTTTTAACAACCTCATACTTATTCCGATATGGTTGCTAAAATTTCGGAATTCTCCAACATGATACTAAATCATTACTTAGGCACAAGCTAAGTTTTCCCAAAAATGATTTTCGAAAGCGGTTTGAATCCACGACTCATGGCAACCACGTCGTGAAACAAGGTTCGCACGCTCATTCCGACACAACCCAAAACTTCTTCTCTCCTATGGTTACACCACACCCA